TCCACTGTACATGGCTCATGGGGGCGAGATGGATGGGTACATCGAGCTCTCTACTGGACGTGCGTTTGCGTGATTCTTGTGTTGCCTGCACGTTTTTTGTTTCTTTTTTGAGAGCGCCTTCCATATGGCGCCTTCGTTGTTATATGTCAATAACAAACCAAGCTGCAGAACATGTGCGGGCCAGCGCCTATGACGCTCAAGGAGTGAGGCGCGGAGCGCCGCGCGCGGAGCGCGCCCCGAAGAAAATTTTGAGGGTTTTGGAGGGCTAGATGCGATCTCTATTAAGAGTTTGACTCACACGCTAGGAACCACTCGGCCCACCCACAGGCCCAGTCTCAAGTGGCAGCGCTCCGCGCCTACCCAGCGGCGCGCTCCGCGCGTGCTTTCCAGCGGCGCGCTCCGCGCACGGTGCTCTGTCTGCGGCAGTACTACTGCATCTTCCGCAGCTCCAGCAGGTATCAGCAGTGAGTTCACCGCCAGTTATCTGCGCCTCCGTTCGTCGCTCTCGTGCTTGATCGTCAGGCCGTGCTCTCACGTCCGCCGGAGCTACCTCGGCTATCGGAACCATTTCACAAGTTTGCCCGCCGACATGTCCCGGTCCGGCTCAGTCAAGGCAATGTCGCTCGGCGCTCGCTGGCTCCGTGGATGCTTGTGCTGCTAAGCAATCCAGGCGCACTTTGGCAACCGGCGGCAACGACTTGCGGCGTCAGCATTCGAACGCTTGCGTTGATTTGCTTGCTCCGCGGTATCTAGCCGGCGCGCTCCGCGCGGGTGTCCAGCTAGCGCGCTCCGCGCGTATGTCCAGCTAGCGCGCTCCGCGCGCACCATAATCTCAGTGCCTATGCTTATAGCCACTAAAAGCTCGTTTCTGCAGCTTGGATAACAAAAGGGTGTGGTCCCTTGTCGCAGTCACACACACACACTCACACACATAGCACATAGGTCATAGCCACACACACACACACACACACACACACACACACACACACACACACACACACACACACACACACACACACACACACACACACACACACACACACACACACACACACACACACACACACACACACACACACACACACACACACATCGCACCGCACCGCGTGTCAGGGCGATTTGTTTTTATTTTGCCGCTGAATTTGAGAGGGACGCGGCCGAAACGACCAAGATTGGTTGTTTTGGGGGCCGAAAGTTGATCTATCAGTGAATGCAACTCGTCAGGGTTGGTTTTCCAAAGCAATAAGCCATGGAAAAGGGGGGGATTAATGCTCTCCTGCGCGACATTTTCGCAAGAAGAGTCCCCCACCACCGTATAGTTCCTAGAGTCTTCTGTGAGGGAGGTGCACCTTAAGTCGAGTCGA